CTGAAACACCAATCAGGAAAAGTATATGCACCCCTATGTTCACAGCAGTGCTATTTACAATAGCTAAGATCTGGAAACAGCCCAAGTGCCCATAAAAAAGCTGTGGTACACTTACACAATGAAATACTATGCAGCTGTAAGAAAGAGAGATCTCTTACCCTTTGAGACAACAGGAGGGAACTGGAGAGTATTATGCTGAGCAAAATAAGCCAGTCAGAGAAAGACAAGTACCACATGATCTCACTTATTTACGGAATATAATGAACAAAATAAGCTGTCGACCAAAAGAGATCCAGAGTCATGGAAGTAGGGAACAGACTGACAAACCTCAGAGGGAAGAGAAGGGAGGGGTGGGAAGAGATAAACCAAAGAACTTATATGCATATATGCACAACCAATGGCACAGATATTAGGTTGGGGAAGGCAGGAGGGGGGTGGGAGCGGGAAGGAGGGGGTCAATGGGCAAAAAAGGGAGACATCCATAATACTTTCATCAATTAATGTGTATATATTATACACACACACACACACACAGTTACTGATCAGCTTCTACCGGACAAAGGGGCTTATTTGAATTCTCATCATTCCCAGTCTCTCTGCAGCATTAAAAGTCTCCTTCTGTGGTAAATACAACTTTCTCCTGATTCTCCATTTTATTGCTTTCATTTCTCTTCTCTGTTTAAATGACACCCTTAATTCAACTGTAAATGAAAGAAAATGATTCTCTGATCTTTTCTCTCCATATTCAGCTTCATCAATTTAATATATTCCGATGATTTCTATTCTCTAAGTATCTAAGTATACATGATCTGAAAAGCTCTCTCTTTCTAACCCCATTCAAATGTGTGTATGTGTGTAAAACCACTTTTACGTCCCGCCACCACCCCACTTTCAATAAAAAACAGATCCCTACCTGGATTTCCTATTTATATTAATGACCTCAGCATTCTCCTAGTCCAGAGATTTTCAATTGGTAGCCCACAAGAGGCACAATAGTGCGCCAAAAGAATTTTTAAAACATGCAATACCTGACTATTTAGTTAGGGGCACTGACCACTTTTCCCTTAGACTGTCAAAAAAAAAAAAAAAAAAAAATGGCAACAGCCAACACAACAATAGCAACTAGGTGTGAATGAATCAAAATTATACCTATGTTTTGGGTCAGATTGGCAAAAGATATTTTTTGGCATGCCGCAGAATTTTAGTAATTAGTCTCTGTGTGCCATGAGATGAAAAATGTTAAAAATCACTGTCCTGCCCTGGCCGGTTTGGCTCAGCGGTTAGAGCGTCGGCCTGCAGTCCAGAGAGACCTGGGTACGGTTCCCACTAAGGGCGTGTACCTCGGTTGCAGTTTGTCCCCGGCCCTGGTTGGTCGTGCGGGTGGCAGTCACTCGATGTGTCCCTTTCACATTGATCTCTCTCTCTCTCTCTCTCTCTCTCTCTCCCACTCTATCTGAACAAAAAATAGAAAAATGTCTTCGGGTGAGGATAAAAAAAAAAAGCACTGTCCTAGCCAAACATGCTGGAAACCAGTGTCATATATGACACTTCTTTCTGTCTAATGCTCCAAATAATTCAGTTCCAAATAATTTCTTTCTAATGTTCCAAAGTCTAGCAAATTTTACCTCTGTAACAGCTCCCTGACCCTCCACGTCTATTGCCACCACTGTAACTCAGATTCTACCATTTCCCACATGGACCTCCTTAACTGGTATCTTTCCTATAGTCTTCCTGTTGCTAAATCAATGTTTCTGAAGCACATCCTAATCCCAGTCCTTTGGAAAACTGTCAGCGAGTGCTCACGGGCTAACAAATTAAACCCAAACTTGTCAGAGAGGCACTCCAGGCTTTAGACCTCATCACTTTCCATGTTATCTCCAACATGTGGGAGCTATGTAGACTTCTCTCTGTTCCAGAAATATTCCCTACATTTTACCACTTTTCACTTGGGGGATTATGAAGGTCCCTCTATCTAAAATACTGCTACTTAATCTTTTCGCCGATTCTTCAAATCTGAACACAAATACCATTCTTCAAATCTGAACACAATATCGTTTTCTCTAAAGCTCTCACATACCTTCCTGATGGATGGTACTTCACTCCCTTCCTTGAAACCTTTTAGCTTTTATAAGTATTTCTGCATCTCTGAGCATGTTCAGAATTTACTATCACAAGAAATTGCTTTTCCCTAAGAAACCTCCCTCTCTAATCAAATGCTCCTGTTCTTCCTCCACTCCACTGAATTGATTTGGGGCTCAGAGCAACCTATAATACAAACACCAGTCTTGTAGTCTATTGTATCTTATATTATAACTTGATCATCTCCCCATCCCGAATCCCAACAAAAAGTTTTTAACAATAAGATCTCCACCTCCACCTGTATATTCCACAGACACTTCAAATTCAGTATGACCAAAACTAAATAATCTCTCCCACAAACTTACTTCTCTAATGCTCTCTCAACTAATTAAACATCTTGATTCCTCACTCACTACATACATGCAGTCATTCACCAAGATATATGTGTATTGAGACCATCCCTAAATCTGTGAATTCTCTATCCCTAAATTCATTGCCAACGAGGGTCTCATCATTGTTTACATAACTGGTCTTTTCTGCCTCCAGCAGCTACTACTTCTGATTCATCTTCTGATACAATAGTTAGATCATCTTTCTTAGATACATCGATCTAAAAGTGCCACACTGTCCAGCTTAAAAACCTTCCAGGACTCTTCATTTCCTATAAGACAATGTCCAAGCTCCTGAGCACCATATTCAGTTCTATTACCTGCCATTCTCAAAACAAAGATCCTAAATTAAACACCAAAACACACTCTCTTCTGCTTTTATGCAATCACTATTCCATGGTTGTTGAAATTGGTTTCACACAGGTCCAGTTCACCTGTTCTGTGAAGAATGCATCAGACATCCGCATGTGCCCACCTGCCAAACAAAGTCTGAGTCACCTCCTCCTCTGTATTTCTACAGTACTTTGTTCATGAAACTAACAGGCCTCTTACCACATTATATTACACATATACTCATGGTCTTCCTCTTCCAGTCCGAGGGCTCTTTGAAAGAAGCTTGGTTTATTCATATTTTACCCACAGAATCTAGTAGGGCACATAAAAAAGATTTCAACAAATGTTTATGAAATAAATAAATCTAATTTCAGAATGTCTACAATCAATCCACCCTGGGTGTTTTAGCAAATAATTTAGGGTAGGGATGGTGGAAAAGTCCAGATGGGCCCTACGGGTAAAATGAAATGACGAGGTGATTCCGAGACACTTTCCCCAGTTCCAGAGGTTCGGGCAAGAACAGAAGAGCCACTGAGGTACTCTCCTCACTGCTGTGGCCACAGACACAGAGCCATACCAGAGCAGGACCACAGGAAAGAAGCAATCCAGACAGCAGAGAAGGGTAGAGGGTGAGAAAGAAGAAATAAACAGGAAAAAATAAAAATCCTAGACTGAAGCTACAAAAAGTGAAGTATCTGGGGCAATAAATTACAAACTCAAGGCTTGCTCGTGACTCCTATCATCCCATCACTGTTTTCATGGCCCTCACCTACAACCCTTCACTGATCACTTCCCGATGGCTGCTAGACATGCGCTGAAAACTACCACACAGATCAGCCAACATGCATGACAACCCTATCACAAGGGTATTATCCACGTTTCAGAGACAATAAAACAAACCTATAAACAATGAACTATATTTAACTATATTGCCCGGTTTCCTAGCTAATATGTTGGCACAGAACCAGAATGTGAAAAAGAGTCAGGCTTCCAAATTCTCTCTCTGCTCTGCTATCCATGTAACAGGGATGCAAGTGGGGCCTGGCTTTACTGCTTTGCATTATTTAGTTATTTTTGTAAGCACACATCTCATTTTCTTCACTACTAGAAAGGTATTTTTGAGGCTACAGTCCATGTCTAATATGTTTTATTTCTTCCCTAGCATCTCATAATAACCTTTCTATATAGTAATCACTCAGTATTTGATTAATTTCTTATTATAGCTGGTTACTAGTAGAAATAAAGAGAGGTATATTAATCTAGTTAGCATTAAGCCAAATACAAAAAAAGATTATGTAGCTCTTTGATTACAATATGTGCTGGGGTAAGACTTTAAGTCAATTGTAATAGGCCCCAAAACAGAAACCACAGCTATGAAATTAAGGAAGGTTTGGTATGATAATAAAAATACTAAGATTTACTGTTTTTTTTTTTAGATCCGTATAAAGATAATAATTACTATATGAGTAGCCATATATCAAGCACATGAACAACTTACTTAAATGTGGAAATAAATATGCTTTAATTAATTGGTAAAACCTCTTCTATTTCCCTTATAGAAAGACGTAAAAACATATGAGTGGACTTATGTCTTATACAAAGGTTAAGTTGTAAAGTCAATGTCAGTACATGAGGCAAAAATCAATTACCAACAAAATAATCCTTTAAAATTCCTTAAGTTGACCTTAAAGCACAGTATAATGCAGAAACACCTCTCAATAAACCCATCTCGACAGTTTTTCCTCCTGCACGCAACAGACAGACCACCGTTCCTCCTGCGGCATGCACGTGGAGCACTGGGCCCGTGTTCAGAGGCCACCCTGGATGGAAGAGCGCACATGTACACAGTGGAACCACATTCAACACTGTGAGGTCCTTGCATACCCATTCCTGTAACAGGTATTTAGAGAGAACAGCATATTCCCATCGTTTATATCATGCTTGTTAGGCATATGTACATTGTGGAATAAGAGCTAGAGTTACTACTGTGTTTAAACTATTTAGTGTTTTGCTTTTGGGTGTTTGATTTTTGGCTTGAGCCTAAAGATACACATTTGAGTAAGTTATATTCCCAGAAATGTGACTACTGTATGTGCTATCTCTTATCTACTGGGCAACCAAAGATGCCTAAAATTTTAGGCACAAACATTCTAATACTATAGTGTGTCATCTAAAAAAAAAACAAAAAACCTATCTTACCTTCATCTATTGATGCTTCACTACTGTATCCGTCATATTCTGCAGATAGAGGACTGTATTTTTGTCTTGTTTCCCAAGTATAGTTCTTTTGTCTAGAATCGGCCAATGGTAGTCTGGAATTATGTGTTCGGGATAAGGCCTCGTGGTATTTACCCAGTGCTTCATCTTCACTTTCAGATGATGAACCATGCTCATCTTTGTCCATGTAGGAATTATCTATTTGCAACAATAAAGAAAGCAAAATCAAAATTGTAATGCAATAAAGGATGATGAATTTGTTAGAGTTATAGATGTATATACAACATATACACACATACATACATATACATATATATGTCATGAATGTCCATATACACACAAATATATATAAACATATATATACACAAATACACAATTTGAATTTTCAGCTTTAGTGAAGTAAAATTTTTTTCACTTAAAAAGCCCAAGATTTTTTTTAAAATCCCAAGATTTAGCCCTGTCTGATGGCTCAGTTGGTTGGAGCATCGTCTGAAAACACCAAGAGGCTGCCAGTTCAGGGCCCAGGCCCAGGATGCAGGCTCGATTCCCAGTAGGGGGCGTGCATAAGCAGCTGGTTTGATGTTTCTCTATCATCAATGTTTCTCTCTCTCCCCCCCCCTCCCTTCCTCTCTCTTTGGGGAAAAAAATAAAATAAAATAAAAAAAGAGACATATTTAATATCATCTTAGCCAAAATTTTCAAAACTGACAATTCTTAGTGCTAGGACTATAACAGAGAAATGGACAAACATACAGTAGAATTGGTAAAATTATAATTTGTAACATTTTTTGTAACAGAGAGTAATTGGGTAATATATATTAAGCTTTTACATCTGTGTAGTGTTTGACTCATTTCTAGGAATTAATCAATTCCATTTCTAAAAATTCAGCTTAAAAAAATAATTAACAGTTGAGCAAATATAAATATATATATATTTGACACAATTCACTGCATTGTGTTTAATAGCAAAAGAAAATAAATAGCAATTTATTTTCTATTAATTCTACTTCTATTAATTGCTATTAATAAAACAGCAAAATAGCAATAAATTAATGGCAAAAAATAAAATAAAACCATCATTGGGCCTTAGTTAAGTAAATTATGATATATCGATGCAATCTCTAAAAATGAAGTGAACTTATAAGTGCTCACAGAGAAAAAATATAACATTATGTTAAGAGAAAAGAGGTTATAAAATAGGAGGTATACTTGTAGTCTCATTTAAAATACAAACACACACACACATACCTACATGCAAAATATACACACATACATGCAATATATATTTACATACGCATATAAGAATGTGTGAAAAGATATACAAAAAAACGTAATACTTATTATCTGCAAACAGTGAAATTACTAGGGAAATTTTCCTTACATATACCTACATTTCACATAAAATTTTTAGGTGGTATAAACTTTTTATTATTTTTTAAAGCAGCAGTTATTACCTTTGAAAAGGTAAAATTTTTAAACTGCAGCATGCTGAGATGCATTTAAACCAAGATGCAGCCTTCTTAGAATTATAAATCAACTCTAAAAGGATGAAGAGACCACAGCAGGTAGAATTTATGAGTTCAGTCTAGATATTTTTTCCATTTATACTCAGTTCAGATAACCTGTACTAAAAAAAATCAAGGTTTGAAATTCAAGTAGGGAGATGCAGAATAAGAAATTTTACAACATGAGACAAAAATTGAATGCTTAGAGTTACAGGTAAGGATTTTAGGGGTCACTAGCCTGAGTCCCACCTTTTAATTCAGTAAAATAAAGTCATAAAAGGGTAAAACTACGACAACCAATGTCATATTCTGCATTTCCCAACCTGTAGTCACTAGCTATATGCAGTTATTTAAACAATTAAAAATAATAAAATGTAAAATCCGGTTCCCCAGTGCTACTAGCCACATTTCAAATGCTTAATAGCTATGTGTGGCTAGTGGATCTTATACCAAGTCACATAGATATGCAAAGCGTTTCCATCATTGCAGGAAGTTCTCTTGGATGGTGATGAGACAGATGATGGCAGACCTGGTCTAGAACCTCGGCATTGTGACTTCCAGTTCAGAGCTTCCACACTTGTGGGGATATCATGGCTGTGGTCTCCCAGCAGCAGGAGAGCACTGAGGATGATAACTAGAAATTCCACAGCTACACTTCACCTAGTGTAAAATAATGCCTAAAGTAGCCCTGCATTCAGAAAGAGAGAAGGAGACTCTTCCTCCTCCGTACCTGATAAGCTCTATGTCAGAACCAAGAACAAAGGAACTAGTAATATCACAGTTCAGCTACATGAAGGAATGATCTATGGGTGAAATAATTTTGAAATGATTTTTAGAACATAACATATTTAAGTTCAGTACTGACTATAATCTCGAATACTTGAGAGGTATTTGGTTTCGTTAGGTACCAGCATGATTCTTAATGAAAACAACATTAAAAACTCTTTACTGCTACTTGTAAAGTATTTATTACTAGTGTGCCCTCTACTGTTATTTTATGAACAAAATAATATGTAAACTATTCTATACTTACTTTTCATTTCTTTCTCTATTCCTGCTACTTCAAGTAATACCAAGGCTACCAAAAAACTCTGGGTCTGACATTCAAAAGGCTACTAGAAGAGTAGATTCCAAAATGGACATAGAGTTGACCTTTGGTATCCACAGGGGATTGGTTCTAGAACCTTCCCAAAGATGCTCAAGTCCCTTATGTACATCCTCCCATATACTTTAAATCATCTCTAGATTACTTATAATATCCAATACAATGTGAATGCTATGTATATACTGTATTAGAGAATAATGAGAAGAAATAAAAGTCTGTACATGTTCAGTACAGATGCAACTATCATAGGCCTAACTACACTGATACACGTCAGTGACAACATATATATATCACCTTCCCTGCCCCCCCCCCCCCCCCCCACAAATCCATGGTTGGCTGAATCTGCAGTTACGGAACCCATAGATATGAAGTGCTGACTATATTTCCAAAAACTGGTGTTCCATTTTAGTTAGCTCATCCATCCTGGACCAGCCTCTTATATCATTTTAAATTTTAAAACTTTCATCTAACTGTTAAATAGCAGATCCCTATTTCACATAAAATCTTGTAGCAGAACTGAAAAAGTCTTTCCCAGTTCTATTATTAGTCATATTTTGTTATTTTATGAGACTCTAAAGTTACAGAAAAGTTCCTGGTGCATATCTTATAAATAAAGACCAGTGTACTTTTGGCCTTGTGATCAGATCAACAATAAATGGAAATTATTAAGATACTACCAGAAATAATTACTAGCAGTATGAAGCAAGTCTACAACCAAAATCAAATAACTGTTGGCTAATTGTTCTGCAAACTGTTACAAATATTGTGGCTGAAAACCATAAATACTTATTTGGAACCTTACTTCTATATAGAGAACTCAGGAATAATAACAGATTGTTTAAGTATACTCATTGTAAACACAGAACAGTCATATAACATTCTTAATGTATGGTTAACTGAACAGACACATATCCTGAAGCATGTTACTCAGTAAAATAAAATCTATTGCTCTCAAGGAAAAATATAAAACACTTGATATAGGTACTTACTGGGAGGGACTTGAGCAACATTGTACAAAGAAATTAGGGGTTAGTTACAAAAATATAAAATTTTAAAATGCAACTATTATAGCACACCAAATCAACTCCAACTAAAGGACACACACCACTTAAGAAAATGCAGTTTCTTGTTGTAAAATATACAGACTTTAAGAAAAATTAAGTCACTGAAAAACTGGCCAAATAACACAGGGGCAGTATTTAACTTAGGGTGTACAAATAACACACATGCTCTTGAAATGATTGTGAGAAAAAGTGAGTGACTTTAAAAATGTCTCCCAGTAAGAAGAATCAAGAAAGTCTCGAAGTAGATATAGGTTTGTATAGGAAAGTTCAGAAATCTGGATGGTATTTTCCTAATTTCAAAAATCAAGAGATATTTCATCATTCAAACCCACAGTAGGAGACCTCACCTTTTTCTGGTATTATCTTATAATATTTTTCATCTTTACTCTTTGCTTTTCCTTTCTTGGCAGAAATAGCTTCTTTTTTCTTTGTTTTTATGTCTCCTTTCACTTTGTAGCTTTTTGTTGGATGTATTTGTTCTTTGGTTTTTCCATGTAACTTATCTTTAGAATTAGTTGATTGTGCTAGATGTATGTCTTCCTTCATAATGGGTTTCTGTGTCATGTGTCTGTCACTTGCCAAAATCTCTCTTGGAGAGCATTCATTTCCTGAATACTCCTTCCCCTTGGACCCTTTACTTTTAGTATGTTTTTCAGCTTTCTTTAAATAATTTTCTTTCATTTCCTGATGCCTCATCTCCTTTAAATCATTCTTACTATTACTAGAAATTTCTAATTCAATTTTTCCATGTCTGTCAGAATGTCTGAGTTCTTGACAAGAAGACCCAGCCCTTGCGCTCTGCCCCAGCGCTGGTATGCCCCCATCCCTCACATGGGCTTCCGAAGAAATACCAGCATGATCGGTCTCTTGATATTTTGATAGAGTCTGTTGCCTATCATTACTATGTTTAAATAGCCTTTCTTCATTTATTCCTTGATCTTGCCTTTGTGAAACTGAAGTATTATAATAATTTCTTTGATTTGCTCTGTGCTCTAGACTGGATGGTGTTTTCTGATGATTCGTGTTTTTGGAGACTTCTGGCAACACGGCGTCTTCTTGCTGAGAAGTAGCTGCAGCTTTTGCTGCTGAGGAGCTCTCCTCTTCTGGGCGAAAGCCATTCATCATGCTTGTTACCTGCTCAGCAACCGTGTCGGTTAAAGCATAGCCGACTTCGCCAACTGCAGCGGTCAGGTCTTCCACGGCATTGCTGAGTGTCTCCACCAGCGAGGACACAGAAGGCAGATTCTGCTGAAAAGTTCTGAAAAATGCCATTTTCTATTTCCTTGTCCCTACAAGGTATAATAAATGAAATTTTCTCTTCTCAAAATATCAAGCACGTTGGAATTTGAATTTAACATTTACTTAAATGATGCTACTCATGAGTTCGATATTAGTATTTCACATTGTGGCTTTTTAAATCTTTCTGCAAATACATTATGCATTGGAAGAAACATGTTGAGGCAAAGACTCTTCAAAAAAAAAAAAAAAATCGAACCACTTGCTTTAAATGTAATGACATTTTTCCCACGCCATAGCTATCATAACAGCAGCAAGACAATTATTTTCCCCTCAAATACTATTGGTTTTTAATTCTATACCTGTAAGAAGAAGTATAAAAAGGATGTTTATTACATACTTTTAGCTCATTTATGAACAGTCTATGTAGAGGAACAACCTTATCTTATTAACAAACTATCGATGTTATCTCAAATTAAGAAAAACATTAAGGGGAAAATATCTAAACAATTTTGCATTGAGGTTAGAACAAGGAAGGGCAGAGAGTGAACATTTTCTCAGTAGATATAACATGCAAAGCATTGTGCTTTACAAATTTTACCTTATTTAATCTTACAATAATTCTAGCAGGTAAACATTATTATTCTCATTTAATAATTGAAAGAAAAACAAGGCTCAGAAAAATTAATAAGGTCCTTGAGACCTTTCCAATGGATCCTCGAGGTCTAAACTATTTTCACAATAACAGTAAGAAGACAGTTAACGTTTTAACTTTCATTTGCTGACAGACGAACACTGAGTCTTCCAGAGACTACATGGCAGACTGAATGCAGAAGCAGATGCGAGAACCAGCGCTTCTTCCTTCTGCGCCAGTCATTACAGATTTTCCAAACATGTAAAACAATGTCACTCTTCTCACCAAATTTTGTGTGTTTTAAACAAATATACTTTTTAATTAAAAATGTTGTTTATATTAACATGTAATAGGCTTATTGTTGGTTTTTAATTAATAAATTGATAAAAATATTTTTAAATCACCTCAGCTTTAATTTCTAATATGCTACATATCAATACATACAACCCACATAAACAAAAGATCTTGGGGACCCTCGATAATTTTTAAGAATGTAAAGCGGTCATTAGACCAAAGAAACATCAGAAATGCTGAACCAGAGAGTTACTGGATGCTGCCCAGAGACATCCTTAGCCAGTTTAGTCTATACAAATGATCAAAAAGCAGGACTGAATTACAAGAAACAAATCAAAACCACATAAAAATTCTATGGTTTCCTACTGCAAGTCACAGATGTAATTAAATACCAAACAGATTTTTATAAACAATGAGGCTATCCCTTTTTAGGTTCTCAGAAGAGGAAAATATCTCCCCAACATATGCACATAGATAAGAAAAGCAGTTTCTCTGTTATAGCTCCCCAAAATTCTTCTAAACTAACACCTTGCCTTCACAATGGTTAACTTGCTCCTGCTATCATTTATATAAGCCAGTCTTCAGAAAGAACAAATAAAGAACTCAATAATATTTTTAGAAAATAACTTCACAGAAAACATTTCCATAAGAGAAAGAACACTAGTACAGATCCCACCCTTCCTACTATTGCATTATCGCAAGTGATGTAATGCCTATGATGCCAAGGAAGGGAAAGGAACACCAATTTTTATAACCAGACTTTTACTATACACTAAGTTACTAAAGAAAACCTTCTCCAAACAAAAAAATTATCTATCAGCTGAGAATCCAACAGCAGGTAAAGAAAAGGGTGATACTTTCAAAAGCCTTCTAGGGACATGGGAAACAAGCTAACTAGAAAGTTATTTGGATAAGAGATTTAAGCTATACAAAGCAAAAACATATTCCCTTCTTCTTAAAGCATATCTATTCATATTATAGTCTCAAAAATAAATCTTATATATTAAAAATAAAAGTTATTTTGTAATAGTAGCAATTCGTCTTTATGCACTATATTAACAATTTGTGGGCAAGAGAAAGATTACTGCACTTAGTAGATATTTTATTCTCACAAATAGTGGCTCAAATGTTAGTTTACAGTATGTCAAAACCAATTTTTTTTATTATATATTTAAAAATTAATAGGATAGTACAGATATAAAGAACAAACAAGAGAAGCAGTGATACTTACAAATTTTATCTTGTGAATTCCTCCTTGTACTGTATCCTGAACCAAGATCTGGAAACCCGCCAACATTTTCAAAACAGAACTTCTTATTAATATAGAGAAAAAGGAGCAGCATCAAGATAATAAACACCCCAACAGCTGACAAAAATCCAACTGCCTCTGGAGATACTAGAGAGAAAAAAGTCACAGCTGTAAGCATTTCTTCCTCTTTTAGCTACAAATAATAAGGAAACACTCATAGAAATATTAAAATACTGTCTTATTTGAATTATATTTTAAACTATCATAGTTCACAGTTTAATTTCTAAGAAAAACTGCACAGTTTAATGAGTTGTTTAATTCATTCAACAGCATTTATTCAACTCTTCTAAAAGTTTCCCTATAAAATGCGTTAGAACAATCTTAAAAGACAAGAGTCTACAAAATAAACAGTTTTACATTTAGTTCACAGAAGAGTATTACAAAAATTTTAACACAAGAATTACAAAAAAATATTTTCTGTGCACAAGTGCATTACTGAATCAAATATGTGAGAATGTATATCATTACTGTATGTCTAAAAGCTTCAATGGCCCTTTTTTATTAAATAAACTCTGGACTTAACCTGACATTCAAAGCTCCAGACTCTCTTTTCAAGACTACACTCCAGTCAAGTGGTTCCACTCATTCCTCAGAATCAGCTACAGGCATTACCACACACCTCACTTTTTGCTCAATCTTCCCCTTGCCCGGAATGAGCAAGTCTCCTTTCTATCATAATCCCACTCGTCTACTCAATCAACCAATATTTTTGGAGCAGCAGCCATACACCAGGCATTATCATATACACAGTGTCTGTCTTCCATAAACCGTCTGGTGAAAGCAGTTACAACATGGCATAACAAAGGCTATGTATGGGGTAAAACAGGGACTATAAGACCCACAGACACTTGATCCAGTGTTGAAAGATCAAATAAGCTTTTCTGAAAGTTATGACCTCTGTGATTATATTTTAAGAATTAGTGGGAATTAGCTGAGTTAACACCATTCCAGGCAGAAGAAACAGCATATGCAAAGGTACAGAGACAGAAGATCACCATCTATTCTAGAAACTCAATAAAACTGTTAAGATGAATTACGAGATTCTCAAGAGAATCTGATCTCAAAAGAACACAGAAAATCATCCACAGAGATTTTTGTAGCATGAAAACAGACAAAATCTTCTCCAATCCTCAGCAACCCCTTTCCTTTTAACGTCTGCATTATTTGTCACTACTCCAATCATTTGGAGTTCATCAGAACTAAACTTCTCTAACCCCAGTGCCTTAAATATAATACTCAAGTATTAGTTCAGAAAAATCCTAAGCCTGAAACACCCTCTTACAACCTACAACCTACTTTTTCTTCCTCTACTGCTCAAGCAACTAAAATGTCATTTCCTCCAAAATTCTTTTCTTAGTCAGAAGAGCCATGGCAAACAGTATCTAACTCACTTGTCTAAAATGAAGTCACCGACTAGTCAAAGATGAGTGCTTTAATCTCCTGGGCTTTCATTATTAGTGAAAGTCAGGCAAACCAGGCATGGAACTGGTAAGACACTGGACTTGTTCCAAGCTGGGGGAGCAGCGCCGCGACAGGGTGGAGCAGAGAGCCCCTGTGAGGGAGGAACGGGGGTGGGAGGGGGTGGGGGGGACACAGGAGCGGTGGAAGTGCTGTATCAGCTGGTGCTGAGGAGCAGCTCTTGCTACTGGAACCACCAAGGCAACTAGGTCCTGCCCCTCTCGTTTACAGGCTGAAGAATTGTCAGGGAAGAAAATAATATTTAATAAAAGAATGTAAGGTAAATGACAAAAGCAGTGGTATGCATCAAGCCGGAGGGATGAAATAGAAATAAAAATAGAAGAATTATCATCAGAATTTCTAAAAGCTAGAAAGGTCAGAAGCAAGACAGAATCTGGTTGAAGAGGCAAAATGCTTACTATATTGTAATATTTATATTGAATATTACATTATAAATAGCAAATATGTGTAGGAGCTCCCCTTAAACCCAGGCCCAAAACTCACTCTGAAATTTGATGCCTTAAGTGAACACAGAGGGTTAGATATTATGCAGCCTGAAAATCACCCATTTCTTAGACAATTAAAGAGAGAGAAAACATAGCTCATCTCACTTAAAAAAGCTAGTTATTGCTAACAAAAACAGCAACAAACACAAATAGCATATAGTAAGTGCCATTCTCTGTTTTAAATACTTTACATATGTTAATCCTTTAATCTTCACAATTATACTATTATTATTTCCATTATAAATTGTGATACGAAGATAAACAATGTGCCCAGCCAGTAAGTAGAAGAGTCGGGATTCAAACCCGTCTGGCCCCAGAGTCTGTCTTACATTACTGCTTATGCTGCTTCTCCTGTTTTCCTCCTCTCTTTCCCTTCTGGACTCAGTCCTTACTTCTGTGTTCCTCTTTCATTTCCTTTCCCCTATTTAAATTTAACCTAGGGGAAAAGATCAACTATAAACAAGTATAATAGGGTAAGTACTGTAACAGAGGTAGGATTATAAAGTACCACGGAAACACAAAGAAGAAATATTACCCGGGGAAGTTACGAACACTTCAGAGAGGAAACGACACTCGGAAGAATGAACAGAACTCTATGAGACAGGAAGGGGCAGCGGAAATAGCACGGTCGAAGGCACAGCCCCCACCTGCACCATTCCACCAGCTCTGAGGACCTCAGTCACCGCTGTCTTACTTACCTCTGTATTCTCAGAGCACCGAGCACAATACCACATAGCTGACACTGTGCAAACATGTATAAATGAATGAATGTGTGATCAGGGAAGACAAAAGTGACTATCAGAGGAGCTGTGACTAGAGATGAAAGCAAGGTCCCAATTGTCAAAGAACTTTGAATATCATCCTAAATCTTTTCTACATGTTGAACTATTTTGCTTAGAACAATTAGAAAATGGAAATACAGTAGGAAGTGAATGGTGGCAAAATATGAGTTCTTAAATCAAGGGGTAGCAGGGATGGTAGAGAAGTGAATGCTAGCCTGTGTTGAAGGAAAACTGATAATAATCCAAAGTAGAGAATGTGGGTAAAGGGAAGTTTAGGAAAATTCTAAAGTTTCTAACTTAGATGAATGGTAACATGATTAACCACATGAAAACATGTAAGAAAGGCAGGTGGTGTGGGGAATGGGACTAGGGGAAGCAGAAGGAGAGAGGCAGATGATGACTGTGCTACGTTAGGAACGTCAGCAGAAAGCTGCGGCGTGGATGCCTAGTGAAGAGAGGGAAGGACGAGTCTACTGCTCTGGTCAAGGTACAGAGGACCTGGGAGTTTTCCCTTTGCTCCTCCTATTCCAGGAAGAACTTCACTGATTAAATAGAGACCAAATGGGCAAAGGATAGGTGCTGGGCTTTACTCATGGTAAATCTCTTACTTTACAAAATTTTAGATAAATATATACTGTGACACTGGACAAATAAAAAGATATATGTATTTTCCCCACTAGGAAAGGGTGAAAGATGTCTAATGTAAGAAGTATACTACTCACACAATTCCCATTTTATCCACTGCCTGACTGAATGTCCATTTTCTACACTCATTGGAAAGATTTTACACACTTATAATTTTTAAATGATAATGTCATTGTAAACAAGAAATAAATAACAGCTCTAATGGGCTGCAGTCACATATAACATATAACATTTTCTAACAAAAAGTATTAAAAATGTTTAAACTTCTATTTTCAGCTTTCTCTCAGGATAATAGTAATATTTACTTCAAATGATATGATACCAGAAGTTGGCCAGTAAGAGTTCTAATTATAAAAACTGGATAAATTCCACTTGTACATAAAACTGCAATAGAAATACAGTAAAGTTAAACTAAAGACATGTATGTTATAATACCATCAAAAAATTAAAATTATATTAACTCATATCTAATATAAAATACATTTTCATCTAGGATAAGAGGAAAATTTATCCCCAAACTTTTATTTCTATTATGAATCTGTTTATAAAGCATAAGTATTTCTAAGATTCTAGTTTATCTACACATAAACTTAGGTTTTAAAAAACATTCTAAATCATCTACTGCAGAGAAGTAAATAATAATTTAAAACACGTATGTAATACCTCTTAATGAGGACTTTAAAAAATCTCAGCACACAGCTACAACCTCAATACAACCCAATTTTATAGATATGGTTATTGAAGCTCAGAAAAAGTAGAATTTTTGAGTTCTTAAAACTGTTATTTAGTGATAGAATCTTGATTTGAATGCAGGCACATGAACTCCTGAGCCCAAAATGTTTATTAATCCCTACTGCTTCCTATTTGCCAGGCACTGTTATACTCTCTTCCATTTTAAACTTTAATGCTCAAAACAATTTTATGATAGTTAAGTACTATACATGATCTTAGTCTTTAGTAAACTGAGGCCCAGAGAGTAACTAGCTTGTCTAAGGTAACAAGTCTAGAAAATTATAGAACCTGAATTTGAACCCAGACATTCTGAATGCAGAGCCAACGGTCTTAAATACCAAGCAACACTGCTGCCTTATCTGCCAACCTGCAATATAAAAAGGAAGGAAAAGCTACGTGATCAAAGTAATGTAGCTTACTACATATACTATGCAAAAATAGTTTATGGTTTACCTTTTATGTATGTTCAAACATAGCATATGATTTCAACTTTCTCAAAATAAATATATAAATTATAAAACTGGAATCCTATTTTTTATATTCAAGATACTTTTTAAAATATTCTAAAATTAATTTTAGCACTATGTTTAGAAACTAAATCAATGTTACATCAGTATGTAATGTATCATGTTTGAAAAGTTGATAAAAGTTTAAAAATTAAAAGTATTCTATGCCCTGGCTGGTTTGGCTCAGCTGTTAGAGTGTCAGTCAGCGGTCCAGAGAGACCCGGGTTCGGTTCCCGCTAAGGGCACGTATCTCGGTTGCAGTTTGTCCCCGGCCCTGGTTGGTTGTGCGGGTCGCAACCACTTGATGTGTCTCTCTCACGTCGATGTTTCTTTCTCTCTCTCTTTCTCTCCCTCCCACTCTATCTGAACAAAAAAAATAGAAAAATGTCCTCGGGTGAGGATTAAAAAAAAAAAAGTATTCTATAAAACAGTAAGTTGATGTTCATTAGTAATGCCCA